TTACATATACATGAAGTTTATTTTAAAAAACACACTTTTTTTGAGATCCTTTTAAAGGTAAGAAGAAAAATGTAGTTTTAACAACAGAAATATATGTAATTTTGCGAGAAAAGAAAGTTTTTCTAAGCTTCCAATATTGGTTATTCAAACAGATTTTGCATAAACTTTAAAAAATCAAAATTTTATATTATTTCTTAAGTACGCAAATTTTTTTAAAGTAGTAGTTTTAGCAATTTTGACATAAACATATCACCTTTATATATTAAGTAAAAATTGTTCAGCGATATCAAAACTACTTGCAACTCAATTTTCATTAAATTTCATTTAATAGTTTGTTAAGTTATTTGTATTTTTATAACATTAAATTTGTTATTTTTTCCGTTTAGTAATTTTAGAGCGCATTTAGGCACTTTATTCATAAGCAAATCGCCTTTGTTTATTAAGTGTAAATTGTTCAGCGAGGTCGAAACTACTTGAATTTCAATTTATACGAAATTTTAGCCAATATTTATGAAGCTACTGATGTTATTCATAACACAATTAATTTCAATTTTTTGCACACAATCAGTTACTTCAGAACGTAATTTAGACACTTTGGTCATAAGATAATCACCTTCGTGTATTAAGTGATAATTGTTCAATGAGGTCGATTCCATATGTATTTCAATTTTCATAAGTTTTTAATCAGTACTTATGGAAATATTAACGTTCATTTATTATCTATTCATTTAATACATTCAGAGCGTAATTTAGGTACTTTTGTTATAAGAGAATCGCCTTTGTGTATTAAGTGAGAATTGTTCAGTGGGGTCGAAACTAATTGTGTATTGAATTTTGTTAATTTTCGTTTGATATTCGTGAAGCTATTGATGTTTTACGTAATGGTATAGATTTTCGAAACTTTATTTTCTTTTATTTGTAATATAAAAAAACATTAATTTCAAATGAAGATCCAACTTGAAAACTTAGTTTGAGTAATGAATTTTTTTTTAATAAATCTGTAGAAATGATCAATAAGTTTATTTTGCTTTTTAAATTAAAGTGTTATATTATATAAATATAATGTTACATTTGACATGTATTTTTCTAAATTTAATTAAATTTAGGCCGGAATTATGTATTTGGCCAGAATTAAGAAAATTTTGGCCGGAATTACAATTTAAAAATCATCAATTTTAACCAATTAAAATTAATTTAACCGATTTTAATATATATATATATACTATATATTCAATAAGTAAGCTGTGTCACAATTTTTATTATATCAATCATAATAACAAAAATTAGGGTGTTACATGCGTACTGGTTGTTATATATGTTGTGCGATTTGCGTCAGCTGACAGTAACGTCATCTGATGGCTGGCCTAGTAATGCTGGCCAACCAACTTAAGGCATTATAATATTGGGCAAATAATGTAGGCCGGCGTCATCTGACGCAAATCGGAATAGTATATATTTATTGCAGTTCATCGATTTTAATTATTAATAATATAAATATTTTATAAGTTTTTTTAAATAATAGTACTATTAAATTCTTCTTGGACAGTAATAATAAAGTAAATATAATTACTTTAATTTTTAATAGTAATATCATCATTAACTATTATTCATAAGAACATTGATTATGTAAAACGTTGGTAATTTCTGGAAAACTCCGTGAATATGATACATTTACGGGAAAATAACTTAAGCGACTTGGATAATTTTCAATGTTTGAGGCTATAAATTCCGTGAATATGATACATTTACGGAAATAATAAAAAAACACGGAATAAATTTTTTATAGGGGTAATAAATTGTCTCTAGTAAATTATTACATATTTAGATTACCCTGTATAAGTTAATTTTGAGTTGTATTACTGTAACGTGTAGCATGCCTCCGTAATTTATACGGATTGTCATCTTAAAATAGATTGGGTTTAACCATTAATGATGTTGATTATGTTGATCATGAAAATCAAACAATAGGAATGTCTCATGTTACAATGATGCCCTTAACGTTAACAATACATTTTTTATGCTGTGTTACCGTTTCTCTATCATTGTTTTACACTAAATTAAGACAAACTTTTATGCAATACTCATCAGAGTTGTCTATGAGGAATAATTCATTTGTTTATTGCGCAATTTTGTATCCAGTAATCATAGAAAGATAAAAACATAGCAGAGTGATAGAAAAGGAGTAATAATATATGTCAAAAATTGTCAGCTTTTCTGCCAGTAGTGATATCATAATTTTATCACTAAAACTATAATAAATTTAATAAATTTGAAGAATTTAATATTTTGTTCATTATATAGCTTGTCTCCAGAATATTATTTGTGTGCATAATTTACTATATGGTTCAAGTTTATTGATCTCAGTGCAAAGCAATGGGCTGTTGCTAGTATGTATTAAAAAAAAATAAAAATTAATACATATCTAATTGTATAATCCAAGCTAATGTTACACATTTTTTTATATGATCCTAATTTTAAATTTTGATGAATGATGAGGCAAATTATTATCATTTTCATACAATTATATTCATCATAAATTAGGCATGTAATGGACGTTTCACTAGTAACTCCTTTGATACTATGCATGTGCATATATACCAAACACTTGTTTATATTGGACAATATTAGTGTCAGAAAATTTTCAGGCATTACATTTGTTGCACGTTTTTTTACACATATGAATAAAACAATGCAGATCAGTTTTTGAAATACAAATTTGGTAGTATAATTAATATATTTTTTTATTTTGAAACACATTCTAAATGTTTGATTAAAAGAAAAGTTATTAATAGTTAGTTAATAAATTACAATGACAAATAACATATATAAATATTCTGTAATCCCTCTGAGTAAAAAATTTAAAATTTTTCAAGTCTCTAAGTTTATTTCCACATTTTTCACACATATTACCCACCAAGTCTCTAGTAAAAATGTTAAAAATGTTCAATTTGGCAAAGATGTTGACCATCTTTATATATTTAACCTCCATCTGTTGCTTTCTTGTTTCATCTCAAAATGTATTATCTCGAGATATATTATCTCAAAATGCATCATTTCCAAATACACCACCCCAAAATACATCAGATCAAGATATATGGTACACTTATGAAGAACCTATAGAAGGTCTTAAACTATATGAAACTTACACACTTTCAGAAGGTACTTTGATGATTTGGATGGCCTTTGAAGATAAGGAAGATCCATCATGCATGTTACCTTATTTTCATTTACGATTGATAGAAAGAACAGGACGAATAACATATATAGACCTTAATTACACTTTTCCTCCAGAAGCAGTTTGCCCCATTAATATAACTTATATACCTTTAGGTTATAATTACATAATGATAATTTATGTTAAATCAAACAATGGTGTTAAGGGAAAGTATGGCTTGATAATTAATTATAATAGTGAGATTATAAAGTAAGTTTAGATGTTGTTGTATCTTCATTTATAAAGGGCAATAATAATTTATTTTATTTTTTTAGTGAAATCTACTTAGGAAATGTTAATGACTATATTATAGATAGTGGAACATCTGTAAAAGGTTTTATTTGTATTGAAGAACATGATAAAAGAGGATTAGCAGCATGGCATTGGCTTAGTACCCCGTAAGTATTTTACAAGTAAATACTTTTTAAATATTTCATTGTTCAGTTGAATAACTTTTTCATCTTTATTTTAGAGATATTACAACAGGAAAAGTGGTGGAACTTGGAAGTGGCGAGTTTAGTGTACCAAACCTATTATCATATACTTTTGTAAATAGTTTTAATTTTAGTTTAGTTGATGGAGGGATTGGATATGCATATATTCTAAAATACGATGAAATGGGATCATCAGCAACAAATGATCCAAATATTCAATACTGGAAAATTTATGTTTCATTTTTAAGAGAGGAAACATATTCATCTACAATACCTTCTCTTATCTACCAAACTACTACAAAATTAAATAGTATAGCATTTAAATCATGTTTTTATAACAATAATGCAGGATATATATGTATTGTATCATTAAACAATACAATTACAAATAAGGATCAATCAAGAACTGAAGTGAATTATTATCAGTTAGAATTTTTAACAACTGGATCCTTTGTACAATTTGGTATGGTCCCTAAAGAAATAAGTAATACAGGCAATTTTGATTTGTCAAGTTTAATTTATGGAGGATTTCTTGTAGAAAAATATTATACAAATACAAAGGCAATGAACTTTTATATTTTAGATAATAATGGAAATTATAAATCAGGGGGATCTTTTGGCCCAGAGTTTGTTATTATTAGTTATTTCAGAAAAAATAGTACTTTATTGGGAGTAAAGGAAACTGGTAATAAATTAGAATTTTTATTGAAACCTTTACTAAGATTGAATAATCAAGGTAAGTTTTTAATTTATTTTTTACTTTTTAATTTTATTTTTTTTTAATAAAAAAATTTTTTGATTTATAGGAGCTGGATATGATAATCCTGCAATTGAATCAACAAAGCCAGCTATCAATGAAGTTATTGATCCTTTATTAATCAATGAAATTATAATTAAATATAGCATTCCAGTAAGGTTATCTACTGCAAATATTTCGATATTTCAGTTAAATGATGACCCATCCAAGCCAAGATTATTACGGCAAACAATCTCAGGAGATTCCAAACTATGTACTATTGGAAGTGATAATCATACTGTGCATATTCCAATTTTCAGTAGTACATTTAATCAGCCAAATTCCTCTTATAATGTGGTGATTAATAATAATTTTGTCATTTCTCAAGAGAGAAATGAACCTTTATTAGGAATTAATAAGAAAATTTGGATGATTTCAACAAGTAATATATATATTTTTTTTAATTTTTAATTTTTTAATTTTTTAATTTTTTACTGATCAAATAAAAAAATTTATACTTCTTTATTATATTTAGAGCCATTTAAGACCGGACAACATTCAGCTTCAGTCACAGGGTTACTTCGATTGAATGAAGAAGGGAGTTCAAAATTTCTTCAAACAAATCAGTCGGAGTTTTTCAACAATATAATTCAAGAATTTTCCAAAATAATTCCGGTAGATGAACAGAGGATAACAACAAATGGTAAATGGCAAAATGACCCCACTTTCCCCAAAAAAGTGTTGTTATCATTTACTATAAATGAAGCTAAAAGTGCCATGGAACCAAGTTCCAAAACAATCTTTGATAATTTGGGCACTTTGATTGAAAGAAAAAGGTTTACTGCACTTTCTAATAATGAATATTCTTCATTAATTGATGAAAGTGCATCCTTTACAATAACCAGTAAGTGTTGTTCATTAAATATTTTTGATATTTGTAAATAATTAATATTTCATTAAATTTTTAATTCTATTATTTTACAGGTTATTTTGGAAAATTTTTGCCACTAATTATAATATTTTTAGTAAGTATGGTAATATTAATAATATTATATTTTTTGGCACGTTGGAAAAACCCTGAAGGAAGAAATATTGCCATATTTGAGACTGCATTAATAATGCAGGATTTTGCTGTGGATTTAATATTCACATTATCAAGGGTTAATAATACTCCACACTTGGTAATTCCAAAGTAAGAAATTTTGTTTAATGTTATGTTATTTTTATTATTTCAAAGATTCATTAATAATTTTCTTATTTATTATTATTTAGTATGGTATTCCTTGTTGTTCCACATGTAGTCAGCTTCTTATTGGCTATAAATATTCTTTTGTCTGAAGTAGCTATGAATCCAATGTTCTTTACTTGGTTTTCAGAGCTTCCAACACTATTGTCAATTTGTACAATATTTTCAGCCATTGATATACTAGCAATAAATACTTTGACATCAAATTTATTTGGTTTCAAAATATTTTCAGCCCCATTATCACAAAGGTCAAGAAATATTATACTTTGGGGTAGTTTCATAAATATCTTTGCTGAAGATATACCACAATTGATTATTCAGATATTATACTATAATAGTGTTGTGACGTATGATCTTATTCCATCACTTGTAATTATATCTGGTGGATTAGTTATAGTGAATAAACTAATTTTAAGATCGTTTCACTTGTTAATAAGATGGTGTAATCGGCATGATGAAATTATAGATTTTAATAGAAATAGACATTTATCAGCCGGTTCTATAAGATCAATTAGGTCAAATGTTTAGCATTTTACTACAGATTTTTATATGTAAATTATGATATTATTTTTACCATCAATTTAATAAAATATAATACTTCAGACTGTGCCATAAAAATGTATTTGTTTTTTTTTTTGAATATCGTTTATTGGATGAATATGAAAAAGATGATAATCATTAATTTCTCTGACCCAACAATAAATATTTTTCTTTTTGGTAAGCTCTAGTTTTAAGCTTTCAGACAAGTTATATTATGTTAAAATTGATGCATTATTGAAGGTTTAATAAAGAGTTTTCGGAGGTCAATTTTTTTCTTAACACACAGTAAATATGTTTACTGTATAACCCAGTAAAATTATTTGCCAAACGGATTTATATGCAGGAATTATTGATTATTGTAATTATTTTTTCGCGTACTGTATACTATTCCGTTGCAAATAAATAGTATTAAATACTTTATCATCGAATTTAGGCGACACAAAGTGGTAAAAATGGTTTTCATAGTCCGGCCGGGTCAGTTTTGTTAAGTCTTAAAAAAAAATTTTTTTATATTATTACTATGCCGGGTGAGAATTTTTTAAAAATTGAAAAAAAATTTTGCATATAAAATTTTAGAAAAAAAAAATTAAAAGCCTGGTTGCCGGGTTATTGATGAAATTTTTATATTATGAAAACCATAAAATCAAGTTTGTATGGCCTTATTTGGTCTCAAAATATTTTCAGTTCCGTTAACTCGAAAATCAAGAAAAATCCTGCTTTTAGGTGGGTAGTTTTATAAATATTTTTATCGAAGATAATTAATTATTCAAGAATTATATTTTAATAGTGTTATAAGTTATAATATATGATTTTCTAGTAAATTAGTTATAGGAAATAAGTTAATTTTAAGATTGTATCATGCGTTAGTGAGATGGAATCATTGACACAATGAATTAGAAATTTTAATAGACATGGACATTTGTCTGTTTATTTGTTCTTTATATAATATTTGTCTATCATTTCTCAGAGTATCCAAATATAAACAAATATCAAATAATATCACCATTTTATTAGTTGCAAAGCACAAAATTACATCACAATTAAATAATCATTGATCAAATAAACTTTTAACTAAATAAGGAAATGACTCTAATTCTCAACTACCCACAAAAATTTACAGTGGGAACTCACTTGGACCTGCTGTTAAAAATAAAATTTTACGAGCAGAACCACATAATAAAGATATATCCTTCACTCCACTTAAAATTATGTGGTCAAAGAGACAGAAAAGAACTATAGCATGCTACTCTATAGGACTTCCTCTGTGCTCATAACACTCTCAGGATGGTTTATGCTTTATAACCGTCGGAGGAGTTAGGAGAGACTTATGAAAATTGGCTGCAAATGGAGCAGTCCGTTCTCAACTCGCGGGCCCTTCTCCTTGATACTTTATCCTTTAGTAACGACCTGCGTAGGAAACTGGTCCTTAGGAATATCTCTGCAAATTATAAAAAAACCTAGTAATTCAGAAAGAAGTGTCGCGCAAGAGCCATCGAGGTTTGAGTCTGCGGCACTCACGATAACCGCTGGGTTAGAGTAGCCATCAATGGGCCGGGTCCCTGGCAAGAATTTTCGCGCAAAATTAACCAGACGAAATTTCCCATATAATCATACCAAATACTATAAATACCAGGTGCAAAAGTGTTTCTTTTTCAGAATGATTTCGAGAGCTATGTAAAGAAGATTTCCATTAGGGTAGGGAAATAACCTTTATAAAAAAAATATCCCGTGACAATCTCAAAAATTAATTTTAATTAATCGCACGGGCGATGCATCATCGAAACATCACTAAATTGCAGTGGTTTTGTATAAACTTTTATATTCAATTCCATTAAATATTATTATTCAAAAAATATTTATATTTTAATAAGTTATTAATAATAAAAAAAATCTATATAATATAATAAAAAAATACATGTCGATCTTCTAACGTTTAGATTAAGTCTGTATAAATAATCTTGAATTGTGTAGCATGATTCAGTGCCTGATTTAAACTTAAAAGTTAAGGCCATTTATTTGATCGGTAAACGTATAGATTTTTTTAACTTAGCTAATTTTTGATCGGTTAAACAAAATTTTATTGCGAAGATATTTTTCAAAAAATTTTTTTTGCAAACATATTTATTCAAATAATCTTATTAAATGAAATTTTTAAAATTTAAGTCACACATTTTCGATTTTAAAGAAAAAAATCACTGTATTTATTTTTAATGAAGTGATACAATAAAAAAAACAATAACAATAAATAAAAAAGATAAGTAAATGACAATGATCAAGGAGAAAGATGCTAATAAAAAAAATGAAATAACAATGGAGTAAAAAGGGAGTAAAAAAGAGTAATGAGAAGTGATAGGAAACAAAAAAGGAAAAATAGGACATGATGGATGATGAAAAAGAGTGATGGGAAACGAAAAGGAGTGATGGGAGATGAAGAGGGGTGATGGGAGACTAAAAGGAGTGATTGTAGACGAAGAGAAGTGAAAAGGAGTGATGGGAGACGAAGAGGAGTGATGAGGGACGAAGAGAAGTGATGGAAGACGAAAAGGAGTGATGGGAGACGAAAAGGAGTGATGGGTGATGGAAAGGAGTGATGGATGACGAAGAGGAGTGATGGGAAACAAAAAGGAGTGATTAGAGACAAAATGGAGTGATGAGGGACGAAGAGGAGTGATGGGAGACGAAAAGGAGTGATGGGAGACGAAAAAAAGTGATAGAAGACGAAAGAAGTAATGGGAGACAAAAGGAGTGATGGGAGACGAAAAGAAGTGATGAAAGACAAAGAGGAATGATGAAAGATAAAAAGGAGTGATGAGAGACGAAAAGAAGTAATGAAAATGAAAAGAAGTCATTGAGAGACAGATGAAGATGTAATAGAAAATAATGGGAGACAAATAATGAGAAGTAGTATAAAGCGAAAAATGATGAGAGACAAAAATAAAAAAGTGATCATGAGGAAACAAAGTAAAAAATAAACCATAAAGTAAACAAAAAATGAAGTTAGTAAGAAATTAAATATAAGATAAAAACGAAATAAAAAAAAATAAAAAAAAATAAAAAAAATACCTTTATTAATTGTAGAACTGAAGAACTAAAATATCTGAAAAATAATAAAATAAATTAGTGAAAAACGAAATATGAAACAGAAACAAAATAAAAAATAAAAAAATGAGTAAGAAACGAAATGTAAAGTGAAAAACTGAACCTTACTGGAAGAACTAAAGGACCTAAAAATGATGAAATAGAATTAAATATGTAAATTAAATAAATTATATAAATTTATTAGTCTAATCTTACCATATTGTAAATATTTATTATCAAAATACTAAGAAGTTTTATCCCCGGCGCAGCGCGACGGGTTACACCTAGTTTATAATAAAATTTTTTATTATGTAACATTCTGACCCGATATCTTTATATTTTTCAATTTAATCTGAAACATTTTTCAGGTTACAGGTTGGGTCAAGTCAAATATAGTAACCTGATTTGGCCCAACAATTCGGACGAATCTTTGTGAGAGGTGGGATGGTGATGAAAGTATGAAAGGTACAATAATAGGAGATGAGATGAAGAGAGATTATTATATGTTCTGTCATAAGGTTGAGTAGTGTAGCGTCTGAACTCTGAACCTACCTAGTGAATTTATTAATTGTGGGGCGTTGTATTATATTTAGTTAACCCTCATATCAAATAATTCGATAGATTTTTTTGTGCCAAAATGATGATCATATCCCGGAATGCATTAGATCATTGACAATCATATCTTAAAATGAAAAATTATGAAAAATTGTGAAAAATTTTGTGTTTTTATGGATTAGTTAGTGCATTTTTATGGATTAGATTTTGCATTTGATCTAACCATAAGTCCAAATTTGGATGAAAAAGTCTCAGATAATTTTATATATATGTTAGTATAGCGAAGCTAACGTTTTCCTAAATGGAATGGTGTACCAATAGAATTAAGTTTAAGAAAATTTTTAAAAATATATACAAATATTTTTAATCTGGAACAATTTTTAAATCTTAATCGAAATTATAAATATCGAAAACTACAAGTAGATTGGGAAATTACATTTTATCTTCTACAAGGAGATCAAGGTACTATGCATACAGATTTTTATGAATCTAAGTTAAAGCGAAAAAAGATTCAATTTCTTATTGAAGAAATACCTACAATAGAACATATTAAAAAATCATGTTTTTCAATTTTTAAAGATCGTTTTTGTCCAATATGTAATATAGAAAAAGAAGAATTTAATCATGTTTGGACATGTAACCAAAGATCAGAAGACAATTTTATATTAATTCAACAGATAAAACAAATTTTAATTGATAGTATTAATGATCATATAGAAAATCAAGCATTATATGTAGAAGATATTGATTTGCCAGATTTACCTTATATTTGGGATAATTCAATTAGAGAAGATTTTTTTACAAGTATTGATATAATAAAAGGAATAATTCCTTTAAGTTTATGTAAATTTATTAATGGAAAATTAAAAAATTATAAAAAAACAAAGGAAATTTTATATAATTTCCGGAAAATTTCTTTCAATTTAATTAGAGATTTTTGGAATGAACGATGTTCTGTCTATCATGAAATTAATATCGCATTAGGAATTACAAAAAATGTTTTAAAAGAACAATATGGTAAAGAAAAATGTATAACAACAAAAAAACCTCCTACAGATAAAAAATATAATGATACAGAAGGATTAGTTAATTACATTAGATATGGAGGAAAAATAATTGATTACTATAATTGTTGTGTACCATAATAGCGTAGCTCTTTGTTATTATGTTTATAGAATTTTTAATTTATTAGTAGTAGTGTAGTTAATTAAAGGTGCAGTAGGTGTTAGTGTAGTTTATAAACGCTATTAAGGTTGATACGTCTTCCAGTAGTCCATCAAGTAGATGGGTGAAAGTTGTTTATGGGTCGGCAGTGGGATTTAGATCTTCTCGTAGAGCAATTAATTCTTATCCCCCCCACAACTATTTAGTAACTAGTTAGCTAGAGCTTTATTTTTGTAACTCGCGTTTTGTTTTTTTATGAAAAAAAAAATCAAAAAAAAATTATAAAAATGGAAAAGGAAATGGGTTTCCTTTTTAATTTATTTTTTTTCTCCTTTTGTAAAAAATTTTTTTTCGTAAAAAATCAAAAAAAAATTTATAAGATGAAAAAGGAAATGGGTTTCCTTTTTAATTTATTTTTTTTCTCTTTTGTAAAAATTTTTTTTCGTTGAAAAAAATTTATATTTATTTATTTATTTTATCTTTATATATCTTTTTATCTAAAAAAAATTTTTATTAAAGAATTCATAAAATTTAAAAAAGGAAAATACTTTCAAAATAATTTTTCTTAATTAATGATTTTTTGATTTTTTTTTTAATAATAATTTTACTCCATTAAAAATATTTTACTAATAGGAAATTTACAGTAACTTTTAAATATTTATTAATATAAAAAAAAAATATTATTATATTTTCAAAAATTTAGGTTATAGTACAATTTAGCATTAGTTTATTATTATTTTTTTTAATAGATCACTAATATCACTGATTTATCGTAATAATAATAATTTTTTTTTTTTTTTTTATACGAATTTGCAGATCACTATATCACTATTTTACAGCTGATTTATCGTTCTTAAAAAAGTGATTAATCTTAATAATATTATNAAAAAATCAAAAAAATTTTATAAAAATGAAAAAAGGAAATGGGTTTCCTTTTTAATTTATTTTTTTTCTCCTTTTGTAAAATTTTTTTTTTTTTAAATAATTTTATGATACGAATTTGCAGATCACTATATCACTATTGTAGTTTAAAATTGTATATCAAATGGTACGAAATGACGTTAAACTATATAATAAGGAATCAGGTGACTACGTCCTGAATTATCTGTTATTTAACCAGGATAAATCAAGTGATTAGAAAATCAGGTGATTAATTGGTAGATCATGACGAAAGAATCTATAATTAGAATACTTATATTAAAAGAAATGGTTTGAAGGTCAAAAATGAAGAAAAATTAAAAGTTTAAGAACATGAAAAATAATATGTACCAATACTTGTAGTTCGTATGAGCAGAAATTTTATGAGATAGGAAATTACAGGTTTTTCAGTAAAACATAGTGTTAAAAGGCGCAGAATGTTTCTTTAGGAGACTATTTATAAAATCATATATAAAGGCGTAAATATTGAAATTAACATTACAAATTTGGGAATGTATTTGAAAATTAGGATATTAATTTAATTACTATTTAGTATTATTAAACCAAGTATATTATTGTATTTATTTATATTATTAATAAAGTGTTATTTTGTTAAGTCCTAATAAGATACCAAAACGTTTCGTTATACAGGCTTAGGTCTTACACTATTTACAGCTGATTTATCGTTCTTAAAAAAAGTGATTAATCTTAATAAGGAAATCATTTTCTTATTTCAACCTAGTAAAAAAATTCTTTGAATTTATGAAAAAAAAAAGATTGTAATAAATTTTAAAAAAGGAAGACAAATATCAAAAATCAATATAATATATATATATAAAATCAATAATCTTTTGATTTCGTTAAAAAAAAAGAAAATTTTCATAATTATAAATATTATATAAAAATTTTCTGTCATCTTTTTCATAAAAATAAAACAAAATTGTAAAAATGGCTGCTACTATGAGCGTATTCTGTCTGGTAGAAACCAAGTTTAATGATTCAAAATCTGGAGCAGAGTTTGGGGATGCAGTTTTCAAAATAGGACCACAGTCTTATGAAAAATTTAAATGGAAAGTTTTTTATAATACACGCAAAGGACCTCATTCAAAACAGTGTCAATCCTTTAACGAAAATGACATTGTACATATGTTTGGAAAATTTACATTCATCAAAGTAGAGGGTATTGAAACAATTGCAGTTAGTTATCTACTTTATTTTGATATCTATTTTATAAAAAATTTTTTTGCTTAATTTAAAATTTAACTATTTTGCATTTTTTTTAGTTGGTCTTATCAAGTGCTTATACATTTAAACGAAATGAAGGTGGGAATATGCGCAAAGACCTTCCTGATCAAACTCCTGTGATGTCTTTTTTCTCACGACCTATTCCAAACTCTCACCAAATTATTGACACTGTGAATTCCCTTAAATCAACTACAGATATCTACAGTGCATATAACAATGAAAAGACACGTCTTCATTTTGGCATTTTGTATAATGTTATAAAACAAAGATGGGCAAATATTGCAGCACAATGGAATAGCGATAAAGTGTTCAATATAGTTGGCCACTACGCAGCGGCCAAACAGAACTACATCATAGTAAATGCCACTGAGATAGACTATGAAGATATTAGCAAATCTCCTAATACCTCATCTGATTCATCAAATGCCGCCTCCTTAGATTCTCAGGCTAATATTATTAGCAGATTTTATGATTCTTTGAATCTACAAGAATCTTCACCTACTACAACTACTCATAATATTAACTCTAATCAAATTGCTCCTGCAAATTCCTCTCTTTCTTCTCTTGAAACTTCCAATTTATCTTTATCACAACAAGTTATTTCTAATCATATTACTCAGGATGTAACTTCCAATCCATCAATTTCGTTAACTCCACCATCACAATCTTCTACTCCTATTTACCATCAATACCCCCAATCTTATCAACCTAATTCTACAAATTCACCTAATTTAAATAACACAACTCTTTTACCATACCCTCATTTTAATCAAACACATCCTATGCCCCATCAATTTTCGCCTAATTTACAACATATTCCACCCAGAAATACATCTCATGAATCTAATTCATCACAACTTAACCCTTCTTTAAATAATAATAATTGCATCGTAATTGAAGAAATTCCACCAATACAAACTAAAAAATCACCTAAGAATCCAAGAAAACGTGCTGCCCCCCCAAAAAAACCAAATCTGTCTAGTACAAAAAAGGTAAAAACCCGTAGTGATACAAAACTTAATCCAAATTCAGAACAGGGAGTTATGGGTTTAGCAGTAGCAAGTTTATTAGAAAATGATGAATCGAATGATTCTAGTAGTAATGTGGCTAGTACGCCATAAATCTTTTAACACTATTATATTCTATTTTTTAAAACAGAAAATATTTTATTCTTTCTTTTTATTTTGTTTAACACACATTAATTATTAATAAAATTATATTTTTTTATTATTAAAAATTTAAAAAACAAATCAATATCGTAATAAATCAATTATTATTAAATAAAAATGGAAAACAATGATAATTACATCATGCAGATCATTTTCGAAATCCTGCTAAAAAAAAAAAAAATATTTTATAAAGTCTGTTATAATAAATTATATCACCTTTTTTTTAAAACAAAATATTTTATTCTTTCTTTTTATTTTATTTAAGACATATTAATAAAAATTATATTTTTTTTTGTTATTAAAAATTTAAAATATAAGACAAAAAATCAATAACGAAATAAATTAACCATTAACTAAGAATGGAAAACAATATGCAGATCATTTCCTAGATTCTTTTAGATTTATGTAAAACGTATGAAATCATCTTGCTAAAAATAATCCGCCTGTTTATAATAATATTTTACAAAGTCTATTATGATAAATTATAATAATTAACAAACAAATGAACTCCTTTTTCCAAATTTGAATAAACAAGATACCTATTTTATTAATTAAATTGCGTTGTGTATTTATCACGTAAAATAATATAGTAAATAATTTGGTATATTGTTTATGATATTTAATAATCTCTTTATATTTTACTAACCTTAACCATTAATAGAATTTTCAAATAAAAATATTAATAATATTGTACTATATAATAATTAAACAGGAGAAATATTTATATTGCAACAATATATTACGCCAAATGTATTATATCATTTGAAAATACACTTCCTTTACCGTTTATTTATTTTGTGCAATTAATAAAGAAATGTGAAAATTATATGAGCTTTATCTTGACTTTTATCCTTCGTCTTAATTTTTTTCAATTTCTTATTTTTTAGAAAACTATTATAAAAACGCATCATCAAACTTCTAATTTTTAAAAATATAAATAAGAATGCCTGCCACCTTTATTAATTTAACAGCAGATCATTTTACAAATAATGGGTCTCAAGAGTTCGACTGGACATTTCTAACAGGAACTACAGTTAGATTTAATGCTAATTCAAACCATAGTCGACTTCCTACTATTAACAATACTACCCTGACATCAAGCTTTCCTGTATCTTATAGCAGCTATGCTCCTTGGCGACCTTCTAGAACCCTTAAAAATTTAATGGAAAGATTTGATAATTTAATTTTATACCAATACCCATGTATCCCATGCAGCTATTGTGCAAAACTACTTCATCCTGTTGAATGTAAATGGGAAAATTATGATCAAAGTAAAACCTATCCTTTGGAACATTATCGTTATAATTATCCAAATATCAAATTGATTTTTCATCCAAAATCTGCCCCTACACTTAGAATAGCTGTTTGTTCTTCATGCAAAAATCCTCACACTAGAAGAAATCCACCAAAATACGATCCTATTCCTACTGAAATTCAAAATATTCCCTCATATCATCGAATCTATCTATCCCCTGTTCATTTAAGCTGCTCATTAGGTAGATCTCCAAATAGTAACAACTATACTACATATCGTCATCTTAAAGGATCAATTGGGATGTCTAAAAATATACATGCTTTATCTCTTTATTCAGGTACTATTGGGGCAATCCTTACTAGTGGCCAACACAATTCTTGGTACCATCCTTCTT